CCCCAAAAAAAAAAAAAAAAAACCCCCCCCGCCGCTCTCCAGCCTCCGCCTTGAATGTCTCAATCCGAGAAAAGGAAGATGAAGAAGATGAAGAAGCGAAAGAACAGGCCAAATCCAGAAGAAGAGGAAGATGAAGAAGTCGCGGCGGTAAACGATGAAGAAATTGGGGGCCAAAGTGAAAACTTTGAGGAAAGAGAAGAAGAAGAGGCCCCAAAAGCCAAGAAGAAGAAGAAGAAGGTAAAGGAGACTAAGGATGAGATTGATGAAGAAGCTGGGGGTGAAAGTGCGAAAGAAGTGGAGGAAAAAGAAGCTCCGAAATCTAACAAGGGGTCGAGCATAATGACACCGGAGCCCTTTTCCAAACTACCCATCTCGAAGGAGACGATGATGGCTATCAAGGAGATGGGATTTGAGAATATGACGCAGGTGAAATAACTTTTCTTTCTTTTTCGGTAGATTTTGGGTTTAATTAGGGTTGAGGGTTTGCGGGTTTTGTAATTATTGATTGAAGTCTGAATCTTTACTGGTATTTTATTTGAGAAGTTTTTTCAGTTTGGGCGAGTTAGCTGAATGCACCCAAGTTAATGCATTTCGTGATTACAACATGAAGGTTTAGCTCTTTTTGTAAACAATTAGGGTTGGAAGTAATGCACCTTTGTGATTATTGCATAAAAAAACCAACTCTTTGTTAAACAATTGGTTAGTGTTGAGTGGGCTCTAGGATTTTGAGATTATCTCTTTGTTGCAGCATTTGAAGTTTTAACTGTAATGGTCGTGAGGGCTGTACTTTAAATGAAAGTTGGCATTAGATACATTTCGGTTAGTCTTTGTTGTGATTTCCTTTTGGCTTCTCTTTAGTCTAGGTTTTTGGCTGATTTTAAGTTCATCACTAAGAAGTTTGTTTAAGCTCAGACAATTAGTTTCGTGCTTTATGTTTGCAGATTCAAGCTAGAGCTATTCCACATTTACTGCAAGGCAAGGATGTTATGGGAGCTGCACAAACGGGTTCCGGAAAGACTCTTGCTTTCTTGATACCGGCAGTGGAATTATTGCACCACCTCAAGTTTACTCATTGGAATGGAACTGGAGTCATCATCATTTGCCCAACTAGAGAACTTGCTATTCAAGTAAGTATCTTATGAACTCAAATTTGAAAGTATCTTATGAACTCAAATTTGAAATATACCCTCTAATTATTATTATGCATTGCTCTTAATCTTCTAAAGATGAAAGTAGTTCCCTTTGCCAATTTCCATCATCTACACAGACACAGTTGTGACTGTGTAGTTGTAAAGTCTTGGGTTGAATTCTAAGTTATGGACCTTGTCCAAGAAAGCAATAAAGAACTTCAAAAACATGGGTGAGTAAATTTTTTTTTGTGGGTACTAATAGCAAAACTCTAGCTAGAGGGTTCACATTTAAAACTTTTCCTGCTCAAGCATGAAGTGGGAACCAAGTTGGATGATGCAATAAAATGGATGGAAACAATGAATTTAGTATCCATATGTTTCTGTAGCACATGTTCTTCTCAAATTTAGACTTGAGACTTTTTTTTTTGTTTAGTTTATCTTTTAAAGAAGTGTTTATTGTCCTGTTACATTTGAAATTGAAAAGGACATGTCAAATTTAGATGGGAACCCTATTCATTCTGTTGGATGACATGGCATTCACAATCGAGTTCAGATCCTCAATTGAAATTGCAAACCCCAGGTTGGGTTTGTGTTATAGTAGTTAAACTTGGAACACTACTTATTTATGCTTGGCTATGCAGACACATAGAGTGGCAAAGGACCTTCTGAAATACCATTCACAGACACTTGGGTATGTGATTGGTGGTGCGGCGCGAAGAGGAGAAGCAGAGCACCTTGCAAAGGGAGTAAATGTATTAGTAGCTACCCCTGGTAGATTGCTTGATCACATTCAAAATACAAAAGGATTCATCTTCAAAAATTTGATGGTAAAGATGCATTCTTCTTTGGTTCTTTCTGAAATTTTATTTAGTCCAACATTGTTGAGTTGTGCTTCCTTCTTGTTTCATTATAAGGTTTCCAATTGTCATATTAACCACCGGGTATGGATGTAAATTTGTCCTTTGCAATGTTGAGACTGCATCTTTTTAACGTTTGAATGATACAGGTTTTACAATTATGTTTAAATAAGTGTATTGATTTGAAAATACAAAACTCTTTCCAGGTAACCATAAATTGTGTTGATTTAATAGTCCAAAATCCTTTTGTGGTAGCCATCTACCACATCTGAAACTGACACATGTCCATGTCAAAATATGTTCGTGTCAGAAGATAGAAGAACAATTGTTGGCCGACAAAATTTTGATTCAGAACATAGGAGCATTTAGAGTAAAATTTTACTGTGAAATGGAATCGTTGAGTGTAAACCTGAAGAGGAGTATAAAGGAGTATACACATTTGTGTTCTTAAAGAATTCGTTTATTTTGGAAGTTAAAATAAGGTTGGTACGACTTGTCTTACAATGTCATATTCAACGTGCTCTCCACTTTTGTGTCCTAACCTATGTAGGTTTTGTATTTAATTGGTGTCGCTTTCATTAAGGTCGTGCTCTCCACTTTTGTGTCCTAACCTATGTAGGTTTTGTATTTAATTGGTGTCGCTTTCATTAAGGTCTGTTAGTTTCCATGTGTGATTTCTGCTGTAGTCACTAGTTAAGCTGTTAGTGTAGGCATACTTTAAAAATTTGGACCATATCCACCTGCCATAGCTGCTGTAACATAGACTTTTGTCATTGCTTCACTATCTCACGTGGTAACTTGTTAGCTTGTTAAGAATATATATGACTTGGAATGCCTTTTGTTTTTAACTTTGCAACTTTCCCATGTGTAGTGTCTTATAATTGATGAAGCTGATCGAATATTAGAGGCGAACTTTGAAGAAGATATGAAGCAAATATTCAAACGTCTGCCTCAGGTATGCCAACTATTTTTTGATCACTTATAGCTTCTTTATTTTCTCATTTTTGTTTGACTAATTTAAAACAAAAAGACTGGTCTTGACTAGAGGGTTTAGTCCCTGCCTGAAGCCAATGAACACCAACAGCAGGAAGAAAACTAAAAAGTTATGTGAAGGTTTACAGAAATAAGTATTGAACTAGCTAAAATAACTGTGTTTATTGCCAAAAGAACTCAGGTTCTGTTTGTAAGAGCCTTTAATTATTCTTAAATTTTGTTAAAAGACTAAATCACCGGCCAGATCCCCTGCAGCTGCTATCTGGTTGCATGCTAACATTGGTTTGCCCAACTGCAAAGCTATCAAGTTTGATTTTAATTTTTATGAACTTGCTTTTTTTAAGTATTCACTTTCTACAATTTTCAAGACTTCTAAAGTAGTTGGTAGAAAATGATTCTTTCAACAAACAACCTGTAATTTATAGAAATTTAAGGTGTTTCATCATCTCTTTTATCACATCATGCATTTTTCATTTTTCCCTGTATGAGCTGTTGCTCTTATCTGTGGTTCATTGACTTGTCATAATCTATGTTACCTGTGTACTTCTAATCTGAAGCCGTACCTGTAACGGACACATACCCGTACCTGTACCCAAACTCCTTGGACGCTCCTTGCACATATGCATACATTTATTCGGGCACGTACTCAATTATACAATACATGTTTGAATTTAAAACACTTGTCATACATTTTTTGGACATGAATCCTACACTTCACATCTACTTTTTTAAACTTGTTTAACATAGGTGATTTTGAAGGGTTGTTTGGATGTCTAGTTCAAAAACTAATAATTTTCTAATTTATAATCCACATGATAAAGGAAGCACAAAATTGTTGTATGAATTTTAATTATCATCATTATTCTCATATAAATTATTAATTCCAATATTATATTATATTATAGTTTATATATATATAGCCGTGTTGCCATGCTCTACCTTTTAGAAATTTGCCGTGTGCCGCACCCATACTAGTACCCACACCCATACCTGTACCTGTACCCATGCAACATTGGTCATAATCGAAGACTTCCAAATCTGTTGATGTAAGTGTAATTTTGAGGTCCTATTATGAACACATTGGTTGTTTCAATTAAATTAAAGTTATTCAGTTCATACCATGTGCTTATTTTATGTTTTACTGTGCAGGAACGGCAGACAGCGCTCTTTTCTGCTACTCAGACTAAGGAGGTCAATGACTTGTAATCTGTCCACATCAGTTATTCTTATTGTATATTCTTTTTTTTTACTAATAATAATTCATTACACAGGTTGAGGAGTTTGCTAAGTTGTCATTTAAGAAAACGCCAATATATATTGGTGTTGACGATGACAGATCTAAGGTAGCTTCATTTTCCCCTCTATACCCAACATTTTCTTTCTCGTGTCATACAGAGGTGACATATTTGATATTGCAGGTGACTGTTGCAGGCTTGCAGCAAGGCTATTGTATTGTTCCTAGCAATAAAAGATTTCTGGTGTTATATGCTTTTCTGAAGAGAAATTTGACAAAAAAGGTCATGGTTTTCTTTTCCTCGTGCAAATCAGTCCAGTACCACTCGGAGCTTTTCAAATACATTAATCTTGATTGCTATGATATCCATGGACAACAAAAACAGCAGAAACGAACTACCACCTTTTTTGACTTTTGCAAGGCAGAGAAGGGCATCCTATTGTGTACTAATGTTGCTGCTCGTGGACTTGATATTCCTGATGTGGTTTGTATCAAAGGGCATTTTATAGTTACCATTTCCATATTTGAATTGGGTAACTGATTTTACCTTTTTGATAGTTACCATTTCCATATTTGATTTGGGTAACTGATTTTACCTTTTTTCCTCTCTAGGACTTGATCATTCAGTATGATCCTCCCGATGAACCGAAGGTAGAAATTAATATCTTGTCCTTTCTAGTTAACTTTTGTTCTAAACGCCAGTTTCTCAATGTGAATCTTTTGCTCTTTCAGGAATATATCCATAGAGTAGGTAGAACTGCTCGTGGAGAAGGTGGCAAAGGAAATGCTTTATTGTTTCTGTTGCCTGAAGAGTTGCAGTTTCTAGTCTACCTCAAGGTAGATTACTCCCCGATAAATTTATTGTTTCTGTTGCCTGAAGAGTTGCAGTTTCTAGTCTACCTCAAGGTAGATTACTCCCCGATAAATGATTTTTTAACGTCTATTATGTGTCCGTACAGATCTAATTTTGTTTGCAACTATTAGGCTGCCAAGGTGCCTGTGAAAGAATATGAGTTTGATGAAAAGAAGGTACCAAATTTGCAATCATCTCTGGTAATCTTTCATGACAATCCTAAAATTTGATGTTGCTTGGTGCTGATTTCTCAGGGGTTAATAACTTAGTGTATAAATATTGCAGGAGCAACTTGTGGGACAGAACTACTATCTTAACAAGTCAGCTAAGGAGGCATATCGGTCGTATATATTAGCGTATGATTCACATTCAATGAAGGACATCTTCAATGCCCATCGCCTCAATATGAAGGTAATGTTCACTTTAACTTGGTAATTTAATGTGGTATTCTGCTGGTTGCTGCGTCTTGAGATTTTCCTTTTACGAAATTTAAAGGTTGAAGCCTTTGATTTAGAGAAATGTGGGTTATGTTGCAGGATGTAGCAGCATCCTTCTGTTTCACCTCACCTCCAAAAGTAAACCTCGGAATTGAAAGCCGTGCATCAAAGTCCAGGAAGAAGTCGCACAATAGCAGCAGAGGAAACCGTCATGGTATTAGCCCAAACAATCCTTATGGGAGACAACAAAGGACTTAGCTAGATGGTAACGCATTTAGCAAGCAAGCTTCATAAAGCAAGAGAAATATCTACAAGAAAATTTCTGTTTCCCGTGAGGTTCTGGAGAAGACATACTTCAGGATCGCTAATCTTCTGTAGAGCACAGAGGCATTCCTTGTTTGAAATGGTTATTCTATTTATATAGATGTAATCATCAAATTTGACCTTAATTTGTCTTAAATTAGACTTTTCGAGTATGCATGAGAAGTATGAAGGAGAGACGTGTAGTATCAGGTGCAAGACACGGAATTTTTGGAAGAAAGTGCTTAGAGTAGTGTTATATGCCCTTAAACGTTCAATACATTTTTATTGAATATTAATTAAGTTTTATTGTTGCCCATATTGTTTGGATATCTTTTATATAATTGTTATATTATACTTAGAAATTATTTTGTAGATCATGTACTGTGATGGTCACGTGTTTGGAGATATAATTTAAGTTAGAGGGTTTTTAAATTTGTGCTTAATCTATAACTAGTAAATGATAGCTTTGTTATATCATGAAATTATGCATGATAACGACATATGAGTTGTGATGGTTGATCTCAGCCATCGGGAATGAAGATTCCCCGAGTGTATGTCATAAGCGCATATTTGATGTGTAGCATAAGACCTTATTTGAAATATCTAAGACGAGTCACCTAAGAGAGAATTCGAATTATTACATGATCCCTTAGACTTGATATGATCATTTTCGGTTTGATAATTTAGTATATTTTGATATGATGGTTAAACTTGTTTTACAAATGCTATACAACCTGAAATGTTGGGTTACTAGATTTTATTTAGAAAAATGATGGATATCTAGATAGGATCCAGTATACTCATTTTTATGAGTTAATTCATAATGAATATCCCATAAATATATTAAATTCCCGTCGGCGGGTGATTTTTTGAAAATTATTTTTCTAAATTTATTTTCTTATTAAATAAATATTTTGATGTTTTAAAATGATTTTTATTTATGCTCATGGGATTGCAATTTTAGGAATGAGTAAATAGGTGATTTGTCCTGCTCAATAAAGTTGCCTAAAATAAATTGATATCTGAAGGGATTTGATTGTTAAATTAAAATTATTAATTTGATTAATAATTGGTTTTCGATATGAGACCCGATTGGTCTCACTAATGTCATTAGAAGAAGTTTACATGCAATACAATTCTATTTTTATCCTAATTGTTATGGAAACAATATTCTACCTTTAAATGTTATGGATAGAGTTTTAAACAATTAAGAATTGTTTTGAAATTGAAATCTATAAGATAGGTCCAATCCTATATATAGGACTCATATGTAGCCTTATAAAGAGGAGAAAAGAAAGAAAAAAGAAATAGATTTTGAGAACCTATTTTTCAGTATTGCTCCTCTTCGATGACGAGTGGATTTCAGTTGGAGCCTTTTTCTCTTGAAAAAGTTATTTCATATTGATCTTGAGACAGATTAGTGAAAAAATTCGGAAAGCGTTTCATGTATTCTTCTAGATTTTAATTAATTTTGATTAATCTACATGATGTGCAATTTCCGATGCGTTGTATATTATGTTTCCAACAGATGGTATCAGAGCGAGTTTAGATTCCAATCTATAATAATTTAATCAGATTAAATTATTTTGTTTTGATATATTTTTCAAATATTTAATTGGATTAAATTAAAATTTGATTAAGGTAATTTAGGTTACTGTTCATTGACCAAAAACACTGTTCGCGGTGGGGGACTGTTCAACTGCCGAAATTACTGTTCACAAAGTGGTACTGTTCATCTATCAATTTGCTGCTTGCGGCCGGGAGTTACTGCTTATCGTCCGAAATTACTATTCATAGCCGTTGGTTACTATTCATGGGTTAAATTTTCTTATGATTAGATCAGAGAATTTTTATGTTTTTGTATTGATTGTTGAAGTATTTAGTTCTTGATTAGTTTTGATCTGAATAGAGTTTATAAATTTTTATAATTACCTTCTTTATCAATAGAGTTGTGGCCGTGGCCCATAGGATGGGCGGCGGTGGAGGAGGCGGTCGGAGTTGAGATTTGATCTCACAACAACAACAATCACCAAAAAACAAAAAACAAAAAAAAAACAAAAAAAAAATAAAAATAAAAAAAATAATTGGAGTGATC